TATATCTTTATCGTTATCTTTATAGTTATCGTGCTTGGTGTGAACGGGCCTTTAGAGCCAAAAACAACTTAAACACCTTATTTCAGCTAAATGAAGGTGGTATTATTGAAAACAGGTCAAATGCTGCCTGTGACGATACACTGAGCCCCTCTCTGTGCCACTCCTTAGAAGGCTGCAGAATTAAGGCTTTTCTTAGCAGTGCACATGTAAGCATTAAGGGCCAGTGACACCGAGTCCAGCTCTGGCTCCATGGCTGTTTCCCATTCTGGACCCATTCCAGCACTCCTGAACGTGGAAACTAGTGTTGGGCGATATGCTCAATTTTCATATCGTCCTATCGTCAGCCTGTGAGATCGCTGATACACGATAATATGTTTATGCACTTTAAAAACACTCCCATTAAAATCAGTGAATATACACTGTATGATGAATAAATCTCTTATATTTACATCGCACGAACATCTGCACTTTGTTGTTTATGAGCGAATATCGCATTTTTTAACAAGGTATCACATATCGCATTTTTCTTCAATATCGCACAGCCCTAGAACGCGCAATACTGTAAAAATGCGGAAAAAGAAATATAATGCAACAAATAAGCCCTAATATTAATTAGATAGTATTACTAGCCTGATAATAATAATAATAATCGTCTTGCTATCGTCAAAGGCATCAGCCACAGGCGATATCTCTGTCTATCGTCGATACACGATACTATCGTCTATCGGCACAACCCTAGTGGAAACCTCAACAGGGTCTGTCTTCACTGACAAACCAGTGACAATAACAGACCAACAACAAACAAATACTGTAAAGACCTCCTGTAGAGTATAGTCATGCTTTAAATTAGAATAAATAAATCACAACGAAAATAGTCAATTTGCTGGTTGTTATTTGGAAATGCAACATAATTGTTTAAATCAATTTGAAGATCTGAAGGAAATGTGTCACTACTTATACATCATATAACAACTTTAAATTCTGTGTAAAATCTAGATGTTATCTTATCTAGGATGTCTACAGTTCTATTTCTCCAAAACACACATTGCATCACAGCTAAAATGTGTGCAACAAAACCATGTTTTTCTGATGGGAGCCATTTCCTATATTATGCTGTTAGTGCCAACAAGTTGCACTGTTTTTCACAAATACGCAAGGAAAAAACAGCTAGATAATTCTGTTGTCACTGAGACAAAACTAAAAACTATCGTTCAAAAGTTTGGAGTAGGGCTGGACGATATGGCCAAAGTTGATATCACGATATATTTCTTAATTTCGGTCGATACGATATAATTCCAATTTTTACCTCAGTATTTTTTTTTTGTGAGTTTCTTTATGTGTGTCGTTACGCTCATTTGATTTGATTTCTCCATGAAAGTCTCTCACAGAGACAGGCAGCACGAGCCTCAACAGCGCGACATTGATAATAGAAATACACTATCAATTATCAATCACTGTTTAGGCTGAATGTAATAAAATCAGAAGAATCATTCGCGCGTTTTGATGCGTGATTATATTTTGTCACTTAAGTTTTAATCAGGCTATTAGTCCTGTCGGGCAAGTACAATTCTCAAGCCATTTTTCAGTAAACTTGCATGAACCCATTTAAAGTAGTTCGGAGGCTGGTCAGCGAGCTGGTGTTCGACTGTATTCTGTAACCGCAATTCTCTCTGATGACGCGGTAACTATAGCGGGGGGGAAAGTACTCTTGATGGACACTCACTGGGTCTGTTAGACTGGAGACATTTTTGTCGTAATGTGACCAAAAATATTTAAGACCTATTGAATCTGAATTTAAGACATTTTAAGACTTTTTAAGGCCTTATTTTAGGAAAACTTTATTTAAGACATTTTAAGACTTTAAGGACCCGCGGCCACCCTGATTTATCATAAAGGATTTCTATAAGGAGATTGTTTCCGCAGAAAATATTAAAAAGTGCAATGTTTTTCAATTTTCATAATAGTAAAAAATTTTTATTGATCACCAAATCAGCATATTAGAATGATTTCTGAAGGATCATGTGACCCTGAAGACTGGAGTAATGATGCAGAAAATTCAGCTTTGCATCACAGGAATAAATTATATTTTAAAAATCATTACAATAGAAAACTGTTTTTTTATTTTATTCTAATAATATTTCACAATATTAATATATTTACTATATATGCAGTCTTGGTGAGCAAAAGAGACTTTTCAAAAACATTTTAAAAAATCTTACTGACCCAAAACTTTTAAACGGTAGTAGAAAAAGTGTATAGTTTACATAAATAAATATAAAAAAACACAATTTTATGAACAGTAAGAAATCGAAATGGCCAGTAAATGATACAGCATGTGTGTGAAAAAGATTTTTGTAAAGTTTTCTTGCATGATAGCATTTCTAAACCCTAAATTCAATCTGTATGTAGAAAACAAAGCATACATTCACATTTTCTGTCCCAATCACAAGATGACAAAAATATTTGCTATTCTTGGTTTCCCTGACTAGTCACATGTTCAAACAAGTACTGCTAGTAAATGAGGGGAGATCAATGCATTACTGTACTTGCATTAACAACTGGCACACACAATAATAACTGACAGAATATGAATGCCTGCCATTGATGAAAATCTACAAATCACACAATCTATAAAAAATTAACAGCATTTTCTGATGCTATACTAAAATAAAAAAAAAATTTGTAGTTGAATTCTCCATCTTGTTCACTTTTAGTAGGAAGGAAACTGCTCAATTACCTGAAAACAGCTTTCAGTTAATATGACAAAAACATCTTAAGACTATCAAATTATACCAATACTAATTAATGTGTTTGACACTTATGCTCAATATTTTCCTATAAGTACGACTTATAATTTAATTGTTTTAGGTGTTTTTTTGTGTGTGTTTGGCTCCCACTGGTGTGCTAAACAATATATCAGTGGAATCTAAATATCACATCTACCCAATCTTGAGCAGTTTGCAGCTGCAACAAGTTTTCCACATCTAAGCATTTCTGAAATGCTTCTTTCCACCTCCAAATGGCCTCAACACGACTGTTTCGACTTTACAGAGGCGGAGGGGCGAGTCCGCACATTAGAACAGCCCATGACTGGCAGCGGCTCGGTAGCAGAGGGTGGGGGCGTGAGACAGGAAGAGCCGCTCGCATGTAAGAGCATGCAGAAAGAGGGCTGGGTCACCGACACTCAGCTGAGAATACAAACAAGACCAGAGCTGAGGTTGCGCCCCTGTTTTAGGGCAAAGAAAACACTTCCCCTTGATCTCATTACATGAATCTAAAACGACAAATGAAATGTAGCCATTTACATGCAGGATACTATTAGAAACAATACATAGCAACAAGAGAAAACTGATCTTACATAAGTTTTATATGAAAATTAATTAAAAAAAATAAAAATTAACTTAGTCATGAGAGACTAAGTTGTGACAAATTATTAAAAGTGCATGGACGCAAATATATACGAAAATGTTTTATAATGTTGTCTAAATTAAGTTGTTAATCTTGATGAAGTGATTTTTTCCTGATTTGGATGTAACGTTACCAGTCCAAGCCTCTAACAGTCGGTAAACTCAATACTACTTTCAATGTTGATGTGAAACCGCAAATATTATCTTATATAATACATTTTCTACATACAATAGTTAACTATTAATAATATTAATCTCAAATCTCAGTCACCACCAACACAGTCTAGCGTCTATGAGGAGTGCGATCATCGATTAGATCGAGTTTCAGTTAGCTTGCTAGCTTCCTTAGCACGCTCTTCATCGCGGATTTTGTAAACTCTATAACATCCAATCCGCGTAATAACATTTATGACATGTTTATGACAATATATAAGTTGTACACATCCCAATAACAGAGAAGGGAAAATAAACCAGGAAGCCTGAATCGATAACCACATACCTTCTCCTCGTCGGAAAGCTGTTCTTCAAAGTCCGCCATCTTGGCTCAACTGGACCTGCCCTGTCAAACTGCACGACGGGAAAACAATCATAAACATGACAAAAGAGTTCAAAATGACATATTTACGTACTTAACATTATATTTAGCTATTGAAGTTTGTCTATTGCACTTTGTGTGCCACATAAGCTTTAATGAAAAAAAATTAATATGTTTTCTCACTGACCCCACAGGATAAAATGTTTTTCATAATATTTTGAATCAAAACAATGAATCAATGCATTTTGATACAAAGTTATAAACCATTACTGAATCAAAATGTGTCAAAAAGTTCTCATTCATGTTTCAAAGTCATTTGTATCAAATTGCATAATCCTTTACACTATTATAACCTGTAGGCATATAACCTGTAGAAGATCTTGTTTGTTTATTTTATTTTGTCTCCTGTTTATGATCTTGAATTCCTATTATACACGTATATTGTTTTTTTCTCTCAATACAAAGTATTTTTAAAAAGCCTCTCTATAAGTATGATATACCAAATATTTATTTAGATTTATTTTCTTTTGTACGTGTTTATAATACTACTATTATAAACAAATTTAACTTGCTTTAACTGTTCATATTTAATGCCTAAATTTCCATTCTATATTCCTCTACTCAAAAATTGAATCAGGCCATATTTGGTTATGCATACACTAAAGACTACTGGCATATTCAAGTTTCTCTGATTTGACGGAAATAGAAATGTCTAGTTTATATGTTCTAGATTTACCAATCCTCATTGAGTTTTGAATTAAATAACCCCTTCCAGATAATTCTCTATCCATGAAAAGTGCCGCTCCTCTGTGGATCTTACGTAACGCAACGGATTTAGGGAGTGTCACTAAATTGTATTTCTCATTATGAAATTTGTTGACCGTTAACTGCGCAATGTACGCAAAAATTGACTCATTTTATATTTAAGCTATTTATGGATTGATTCAGAATTCGAGTAGTCAAGTAATTTATATAAATAGAAAAGAAAATGTCAGGGCTCCTTCGTTTAATGCCGAATGCGATCATTTACAGATGTACCCTTGCTTGGTCACCGTTATACAGCGTACTGTCAAGTTTCGATTCCGGAATCGCCTGGTCCAGAGACCATTCAAAACATAAAGTACTGACATACAAACAACAGCAGGATGCCTTCTCTCAAAACAACATACGAAGTAGGGCTTGACTTCCTGGAGTTTCTGGGGCAGAGGATCTCGAAAACAGACAGAAACGAGCTTCGGGATATTTACAACTTTGAGTTCAAAAGGTTTGTAACTGTGACTCAGAGTCACCTGCTCAGTGTCTGGCACATCTGTTTTACAAGATTCATTCATGTCAGGTTTTGCTTTATTTTGTCTTTGTATCTGAAAAGTCTGGAATAAAACATAGTGTGCCATTTATTTATGATTGTTTGTGTGTGATATATATATCACTGTCCTGGTTCAGCATGTCTCATTCTACATTGATGCAATAGCCTTGTTTTTCCAGGTTGAAATTAGTTGCATGTGATTGTTTGCTTTTCAGGGACGGAAGCAAAGAGCCCACATTTTCCAATGTGATCAGAGCCTTAGTGTGTTGCAATAAAGCCACTATAAGGAATGGAAAAGTTATATTTCAGTGGAAACCTAAGGTTAGAGCAAACAGTGAATGTTTAACAGTGAATGTTAATAGGCTTAAATGAGCCTAATCGTGTCTTTAATTCATTTCTGTAAGATTTGAGATCTGCCAGTGTACTCATAAATGTGACACACTGATTAACTAATGCATGAAGCCATTTCATTTTGAATGTTAAGCAAAGAAGAAAAATCATATTACATTTTCTTGTCTCTCCTCCTCCTCATTATTCTCCTCCTCTGACAGGTGCGTGTGTACTACTGCGATCAGTGGAAGTCCTTCACACAGCAGAACACCAGCACATCGGCCCCAGAATCTGTCCCAGCATCCTCTTCCCCCAAACCTGTCCTGACCCCGAAGAGGAAGCTTGCTTCAGAAATCCTCAACAAACTCAAAATGAAACGGTGACCATCAGAGATACAATTCGACCTGTTTGTGTCCAACTAGGAAAAACAAAATTGCCTGTGTGAAAAATTAATAATGTGAATGTGATCACAGGCTTCCCTTCTCAGTGGCACATTTCACTTAAAAAAAAAACTCATTGTCATGTGTGTCTCTCTTTTAGAGCTGAACTCATCAAAGACAAAGGAGGTGTTGAAATAACCTCTGACCCCAAGGCCACCAAAGGGAAGGTTACGTTCATCATCAAGGAGCAGGGGAAGCTGTTTGTGGTGAAGTTTCACATCGTAAACCGTGGCGAGAGCTGCGTGTACTTCACATACTACACAGCTCTGCACAAGATGCGCTGCTTCACTCTCGTAGATGAGAGGAGAGTGAACCGTGTTTCTCCTCTTCTCCTCTGTCCAGGTGAGAAAAATACTGAGACTCTCATCTGATAGATAGATAGATAGATGAACAAATGAAATAAGATGCTCACAAAAACGTCAAATTGATGTCTCTCTGCTAGGTGAGAGTTATGTTGTTGAAGTGCATTACAAAGTCCACCATCATGGACACTTTCCAGCCACCATGTACTTTGAGTTCTGCCCAGAGGCAGATCCTCCAGGTACCGCTAAGCCCTTCTGCATAGTCCGGGAACTGGAGGCAGTGGTTCAGTCTGGACTAGCTGAGACACTGGGCCCAGAGAGTCCATATAACCCCAAACAGAACAGACGACTCCGACCGGAGAACAGGATTCTGGAAGAAGGGGTACCACCTGAGAGGTTAGATCTATCTATCTATCTATCTATCTATCTATCTATCTGTCTGTCTGTCTGTCTGTCTGTCTATCTATCGTGTTCAATACTGTTGAATCACTTTTCTACGTTGTATTTTTAATAGTTTCATCACACATGTTCTGAGGATTATGGTGAAGTTGAATCCATATCATTACCCAGACTACTTGAAAAAGTTGGCCAAACACAAGCTGGAGGACTCCGAGCGCCTTTCACCCCCAGTAAGACAGCATCTTCGCAGAGTGAGGCAAGCAAGCATGGACTCCTTTAGAGCAAAGAAATTGTGTTGATGTACTGATGTTTAAAGTTAGTTATACAGCTCTCTCTGAGTGTGCGTTGGTCACTGACGTCTGTATGTTCTCAGGCAAGTGCTGGACACTCAGCTATGCATGAAGAACTACAAGGAACGCTTTCACCTCCTCCTACACCTGGAAGAGATTCAGATGGAGGTGGACATCAAGAAGTACGATCTCTACGGCAAGACCATGACCCTCGACAAATCAAACAAAAAGTTGCTCATTCTCAAAGTGAGTGAGAAGCACAATTATCTAACACCAGATGTGTTCTTATTCTTGCCAGATGTTGTTACAGATATCATGATGTCAGTCACAATTTTAGGACAGATTTTTTTTTCTGATGACTTTGTCTCTGTTTTTAACTCAGGTCCCAGGGGTGGCAGAAAACAGACCGTCCGTACTACGAGGAGATAAACTGAATGTCTGTTTGTCAGAGGACAGGAACCAGCCCATCACTGTCTATGAAGGCTATGTCCATAGTGTAGAACTTGAGAGAGTTAAACTCGGCTTCTCCAAGACGTAAGAATATTTCAAACAGTGAGAACATGATACATAGCTTTCATGAATAGTAACCACATTGTAACATGTTTTTAACATGTTTTTGTACTAAAGACCTAATTTTATATATACACTACTGTTCAAAAGTTTGGGGTCTGTGAGATTTTTATCTTTTTTTTTTTTTTTCAGAAATTAAAGGGTTAGTTCACCCCAAAATGAAAATTCTGTCATTAATTACTCAGCCTCATGTCGTTCCAAACCCGTAAGACCTTCGTTCATCTTCGGAACACAAATTAAGATATTTTTGATGAAATGTGAGAGCTCTCTGACCCTCCCATAGACAGCAACGCAACTGTAATGTTCCCAGGTCCAGAAACGTAGTAAGGACATCGGTAAAACAGTCCATGTGACATCAGTGGCTCAACTTCAGTTTTACGATGCTACAGGTGTCCTTACCGATGTCCTTACTACGTTTCTGGACCTGGGAACATTACAGTTGTATTGCTGTCTATGGAGGGTCTGAGAGCTCTCCGATTTCATTAAAAATATCTTAATTTGTGTTCCGAAGATGAACGAAGGTCTTACGGGTTTGGAACGACATGAGGGTGAGTAATTAATGACAGAATTTTACATTTTAAACATTTTTAGGTGAACTATACCTTTAATACTTTTATTCAGCAAGGATGCATTAAATTGATCAAATGTGACATTAAATACTTATATAACATTACAAAAGATTTCTGTTTCAAATAAATGCTGTTCTTTTTAACATTCTATTCATTAAAGAATCACGGTTTCCACAAAAATATTAAGCAGAACAACTGTTTTCAACATTGATATTAATAAGAAATGTTTCTTGAGTATTTTAGATCAGTATATTAGAATGATTTCTGAAGGATCATGTGACACAGAAGAATTAAGTAATGATGCTGAAAATTCAGCTTTGCCATCACAGGAATAAATTACATTTGAATAATTTTTTTATTTTTTTTTTTAAACATAAAACATTTGTAACATTGTAATAATACATTGTTTTTGCTGTATTGGTAATCAGATACATGCAGACTTTTCAAAAACAGACTTATATATATATATATATATATAATTGTTATATTATTTCAAACGAATAGCCTTAATTCAGACCGCCTTCTTTAAGAACATTAACTATTTTGGTTCTGTGTTTGTAGGCTTCTCCAGAAGTTTGTCAAAAATATGAAGTTCAATGTGGAGTTCAGCATCAATCGCTTCCCCATAAGGCTTCAGCACAGGGCGGTGGAGCTGGCTTGCCAGCACAGACTGGGAGATGTGTTATTCCCCTCTGATAAGGGCACTGGACTCACTGCATTACCACACCTCAGGTTTGCATGCACACACACACTCACACGCGGCACTTTATGGACAGCTACAGTACATCCGCGCATGCACATATGTTAGGAATTTCATCTTTGATGATTTCAAGATGACAGGAAGTTCCTGAGGAACACAAAGATAGTGTAACTTGAGCTATATGTTTCCCTGTGTAAAATAAGAAAAAGAAGGGTGGACTCAGAGTTTTGGTCCTCACTCTGTGTGTTTTTATCAAACATTACTGTGCTTGTCCTCCAGCATGTTCAACAAAGATTTAGAGAACAACCCTGAGCAGAAGGCGGCAGTGCAGCATATCCTGTCGGGCACATCCAAACCAGCACCTTACCTGATCTTTGGACCCCCTGGCACAGGCAAAACTGTAACAGTGGTGGAAGCCATAAAGCAGGTAAAGACAATCATAAGGACTACTTCATTCATGTGTTTATTGCAGCCTTAAACAGCCATGTGACACATGACTTGGTGTTTGTTTGTTTGCTGCATCAGGTGAATAAATCCAAGGCCACAACCCATATCCTAGCCTGTGCTCCCTCAAACAGTGCCTGTGACCTCCTGTGTGAGAGGTTATTAGGATATGTGGACGCCCATCGCCTCTACCGACTCTGTGCCCCTAGTAGAGACCCGCGCACTGTACCACAGAAACTGCTGGTAAGACATATACATGGGGTGTGTCCAGAATGACATACTACCATTTTAATTGTATTTTTTTAAGTATGTAGTATGGGCAAGCGGCAACCTTCCGGTCTCTCATGTGAATCCAAAACGGAAGTGACTAAAACTGCAATTCATCAACTGGCCGCTAGAGACTGGCTCCAAAAGAGAGTCAGTCCCATAGACTCCCCATGTTAAAATGCCCAACTTTACAGCAGAAAAAAATATGTTTACAGCCTGCTACAAAAAGTGGTTTTGGTCTATATAGCTAATTTTTTTTATAAACTGTGAGGGGGTGAATTTTTTTATAACTCATCCATTTA